AGGTGTGGTTGGTTGCTCGGTGCCATCGACGATGAATGCGCCCTTGACATTGATGCGCACTGAACCTGGATGCGATATGGTGCTGTCGATCTCGGCGGTGCTCGTCATGGTACGCCGTCGAGGCGCAATCTCACGAGGCTCTGCATCGCCACTCGCGATCGCTGTGTCAGCGTCGGCATGATCATAGGACATAGTTCACCGTCGAGATGTCGGGATTACAGCAAATCGATAGCGGGGGATGTAGGAGAGAAGAATAATTGGGATAAGAAATGATGCATGCGGCACAGAAGCCGAACTCCTGATGAGTATTTTAAGGCGGCATGAATGTGAATGTTGTTAATTAGCAATCAATGAATCAACCTGACATGGTGTCCAGCAGTCTAGTAATTAATTGTAATAAGAAATGATGTGTGTGAGCGAAAGGATCGAGAGAGGCTTTGCTGATTATTGAGTGAGCAAAGAGGGTCAAGTCAGAAAGTCCCCCTCCTCGGTGAGGCGGTCCGAGGGATCACAGCGTGTAAGATGAATGGGCTTTGGTGGGGTGAACTGACTGAGAGAGTCCCTGAAATGAGGGTCCTGTGGGGACCTCACTTCAGGGTACTTGTACCTACAGTACCTAGGCCTGGTAGGGGGGTTGAAGACTTACCACCTAGGCTTGCTAGGTTAGGTACCTAGTTGAGGTAGTGAGGTAGTGTAGACTTATAGTAGGTTAATGTTATTTCCGAATCACCCTTATCGATACCTTCTCATCTACCTCTCCAGCCTCACTTTTCTGCTCCTCCAGAACTACCTAGACGGCCTATTTTGTGTTGGACAAGGCTATGTTTCTTGGAAATCTAAAAGCACAATTTGTACGCCAGATATGAACTTCAAGTTAAGCCGTAAGATACAATGATGTCTCTCAACAGATGGGGATGAACGCCTACAAGCCATGACACAAAACCACCATCGCTTACGACGTAATACGAATACGTACAGCTCGTGCTCGTTTTCGATTTACGGCAATCAATTGACCGAATTGATCAATTAAAGTCTTCCTATCCGATTATATAGCACTATAACTTTCTACCACAGTAGGTCGTTGAGGGAGTACAACGTGAAGCATCCATCTCAACTTCAACTTTGTCCCTGCTTAATAGTAAGCGATTTGAGTATTTAAAAATTACGTATAGCTATGACATCAATAGAATAGAGCTTAGGTGTGTTGAGTACATATAGGTAGTACCAAGGCGTTGGTCATGTTGCATCAATTGGTGGCATTGGTGCTACCACCATGACATAATACAGAACCAGCTTCGAGCTCTCAAAGTCAGAACATCAATACATTACAGTGCATTCCATTATTCAGGCGCTGATTAAGCAGCCGCTTGTTTAGTTATGGCATTGATGTGTACTTGCTGTGAATATGGAAAAGGACATTTATTTCACTGATGGGAAAAAACACACCAGAATCCACCTGAGGATATCAATCATTCCTATTTTCCAAGTACTCCGATTCAAGTCTGTTCATCATGTGGTGCGAAACCCAGTGCCTATAAACTCGTGAAACCCGGAGTTCGATGTTCCTATTCCTAGCTCCCTTTTTAACCCAACAAATGAAATTGTATCAGGTACCTAAGACGAGATCAAAAAATAGTATGCAATAGGTATAAGGTTCTGAAGGTGCATTTTCCAGAAGCCAAGTATCTAGAAGTAGTTGCCAGCAGGGACGGCAACTAAGATAGCCGTGAGGATGCCCGCGCCCAACAGCGCCGACAGCATAGACTGCAAGAAGATGGTATCCTGAATCTGTCGTAGCGCGGGCTCTTGGATCCAGACCTCGCGGTCGAAGACCTTGCGCACGTAGAACCGGCGGTCATACTTGACAATCCATGGCTCATCCTCGTAGCTATTGCTCGAGCCGAACGAGTCGAAGCTCTGCTTGCCTTCACACAGCATCTCCACCGAACTGGTGCTATCGTCCACGAACAGCTCCCACGGCCGCACGTGTCTGTGATGCAACCCGTGTAGCACCACGCACATACCCTTGATCGCCGTGATCAATGTCGCGATTCCGAAGACCCAAAGGATCGCGAAGAGCGCCCGCCAGCCGCGACCGGCATGGCTCAGCGTCAGGACGATGGACCCGATCGTCGCGAGTAAGATACTCCCAGCGCCTAAACCGCGAGCGAACGTGACGCGGGCTGGGTTGCCGTTGCAGATGGTCCAGCGGATGAAGTTGGGGTGCGCCTGTCTCCGGAGGGTATTTTCAATGTTCTGAGATAGCGTGTGGAAGACCGACGGATGGGTGGTGTAGGATAGAGCCTGGACAACGGCCCTCTGCTCACGGGCTGAGAGGTTCAATTGTCTTGGAGAATCATCGGCGAAGTAGGTTGCGATGACTCGATTGATCTCTGCTCGGAAGGGTTGTATAGTGACTATGAATGTGTTAGCAGTGTGTCAGAACTGCTAACAAGTATCACAGAACGACAGAGACAAGTCTTACATGGTAGTTTAGCATCGGCCGCAGAGAAGGTTTCCTGAACCTGGGTTTTATAGGTCGTCTCCTGAGAGCCAGACCAGAATGAGGCACCATCTCGATCTCCGGCAGAGGACTGAGGCGGAGTTGAGAAGGGATCCCTACTTTCCACATGGACTTCAGGAGTCTTCTCAAAGTCGGTGCCCTTGAAGATTGCCACCATGGTCGTCGATTCCTTCTTGACCTTGTCTGCAACATCCTTCTGAATTTTGTTCATCGTATCTTCTTCCATAGCCTGTGTCCATTCTGGCGCCAGTGCGATCTCCGAAGCGGGAGCTTCGTTAAAGCGCTTGACATAGTCACGATACCAGAGGAAAAACTGCAAGTTTTCGGCGGAATGCTCAATATAGATGAGATAGTTCATGAAATCTCGGATAGTGCAGGGCTTCATAGAATATCAGAGACCAAGTACGTGCAATGACCCTCATAAAAACTTACAGGGCAAGTTCCACCATTGATAATCTTGTCGAATGTGAGTGCGTCAGGGATGCCTAAGGAAGTACCAGAGCGGCCAGATCTCAGAGAAGCTTCGCTCTTCTCGTCGAAATCAATGCTGCTCTCGCTTCGTATGAAATCCTCTTTATCGACATAATTCGGACGTCGGTAGTTCAGCTGAAGTAGCCCCATGGTGAAACGAATGGTCTGCTCGATACTCAAAGGGATCAAGTCAATAAGCAGGTCCTAATCGAAGATGCGGAAACTTTATTAGTCTAATTGATGGACGATGTCGAGAACGCACAATCTCGAAGAGGCCTGTATCAATAATGAGATTCCCTGCAAAGAGAATACAGGGAATAAAATGTTCAGGGTTAATATCTTGTGTCTCCGGCGTGGTCACCAGGGATGGAAAAGATGCCCGACCACCTGAAGTCTAAGACCAAAGTATGTGTCTCTGTGTGAGAATCCGGTTTGAGACGACCCAGGCGCCTGGAAGATTGACAAGATCCAACAAATTTATATGAACCAAATTATGAAGTTGGCTTGCGTCGAGTGTGTAATGAAATGAGCACACCAACCCAGATGCCCCTAATTTGTGTGACAGGTAGGTACACTGTTGCATCTGGGCGTACATGGCATTTGCCTCCATCGTGCAGAACGATCCGTCTAAGATGCAGAGTTACTCTAGATGCGTAGTGGTGAGACTCTCATGCAAGTGTTTTCAGATGAATCACCATGCGGCGGGCTGAGTTCACCAGAAGCAAATCCGATCAAAGCCAGGAAACTCAAAGGCTAAGCCAAAACATGCTTCTTTGCAGTTTTCTTTCATATTGCCTTACGGTCACATATGAGCTGCAACGCCGCGTAGGATTTCTAGCGTGAGTGACAACATCTAGGAAGATGGAGCCGAGTGGAAAGTCAAAAACATGATCGAATATAGGAGTTAAGATCTGATATCAGATCCTCCAGATCCTTCAGATCCAATCCGCGCACAAGACGGCGCAATGGAGGCTTGTAGCTAGTAGGAGCTGAAACGGAGTCCCGATCCAATCGCATGCGAAAGAGCTAAAATATTTTGAACCAAGGTGCATCCTATCGTACCGGCGGCAGGCTAAAAGCAGATTCGAAGAAAAGACTATGAGTATCCCTACTTAAGGGTGAAAGTGAATTAGGCAATTATTAAACTTCCAAGTCTCTGTCAGATTCAGAGAGGATTGCATGACGTTGTGTCTGGGTAAATGCTAGATTCTTGGGATTATCATCTTGTCCAAGTTTGGAGGGGGAAGAAACAATAGATTATACATTACATGATATGTGTTGGCAAGAAGAAAACATCGAGAGCACTAATGACTCAAAGCGGATGCACCAACCAAGACAGAGCGGACGAGATCTTGCAGTGATCTACACAATCCCTGAGAATCTCCCTATTCCCACGTTCCCACGTTATCCGCTCCCCAACTTTCAGGCCCAGTAGCCCGGTAACTGCATCATTCATTGTCACCTTAGATACCTACCTAGATACTCTAGAATACCCTCCGAGAACATGAATTCTAGTTTGTCTAATATTCTAACCGTTTCTTTACAAGAGAAAATGGTGCTTCCGCAGATAGATGACTAAAGAAGGCGGTCTCAAGATCTGCTTTTTCCTTTGGTATTTTCGCTTGGTCTGGAAGTCCAGTACAGCATACAGTTCCAGATACTGAACCTATCATGAGTATTTCTCGGGAGTGTGATTCACCAATTGTCTCGGTTCGGAGCTTTCGGTGAATTACTAAACCAGTAGCGGCTGAGCCCAAGCAAGTTGCTGGGAACTTGATGATGTTGCTATATCATCCTAGCACCTCCCACAGCCACCGTCATGGTATACTTGCTTCGCCCTCATTACCCTCACAGCATATAACAGTGCTACCTATATGGGATTTAAGGTGACAGAAATCCAAATATCGAAATTACATCACATGCAGTGTAGCCATAAAAATAAATAAACCAAAAATAGAAAAATACTAGTCGGTACTCCCAGTAAGCTGGGAGGCATTAGGAATTGAGCCCAATGCGGGGGTCGAACCTAGTTCGAGGGTTAGTAAATTTTTCACTAATTTCTCTTTTCTTTTTTCCAGAACCACTCACCCGCAACCTTGAGATTAAGAGTCTCACGCTCTACCGATTGAGCTAACCGGGCGAGTTATTTTCTAGTAGTGCAATACCTATTATTCCGTTGCGGTTCACGGATAGCTGCTGGGTTACTAGACTACGAATGCGTTCACGCATTCTTCGCACTATTAGTCATGATACCAAGTTTATGGTATCACCATCAGTATAAGGGCCGTGCAAGCAGAACCCGACACGGCGGAACATTTTGCCAGTCTATAGTTCGAAAGTCTTGCGTTTGCGCTACCCATACCATGCTTGGTCATGCAACGTCGGCGTTCGTGCCGTTGTGACCGGTCTGGTAAGTTCCAGACGAGGGCGGGGCGCCAACGTCTGTATGTCGTGAAACCCTTGAATGCCATTTCGGGGAAGACAAATCAGCCATTGGGTGAGCTTTAGGGGTGGCTGGACGGTATGCGATATTTCAACGGCGTCTTGAGACATGGAGAGGAAATGCCACGAAAAGCCTAACGTATCCCCCCACGATACTCTTCGAGTCTCCCATGTATTTACGCCGACTCATCCACAAGATAGCCAAGTACAAAAGCTGTTTATGCTCGATTGGCACAGGGGATAGCCACAAATCCCATCGAGCCGCAAATCTTTGTACTGACAGTCGGCGCTGTTCAGGGGGTGGCTATCAATGACAAACTCCTATGCGCATTCATAGCCAGTCACACATCTATCACATACGCCACAGTGTGCCACTTTAAGGACAAGCCCGATGGTTCGGCAGAAAATGTATTTGGCTGATCTTCCTATCACTCTCACTATGTCTAAGCAACTCCATTCATGAATATCTGAGACATGGGGCTACCTCAGCTCGAGGTCGTAGCATCTCACGTGGTGCCAGCTTTTGGGCCTAGAACGCAGACTGCAGCATATGATTATTAGGTGAATATGAGACCACTGAGATGACGAGTCAAGTACGTCCTTCTAATAAGAAGGTGAGTATATTCGAGCAGTTCAATGTTCCAAGGGCGCACGAACTTCGTGTCTTTCACGGTTCAACGTGTTCAATGAACAGACTGCCCTTGACGCGAGACTACACATTGTGTCGAGTTTGAACTAATGTCGGTGTCACCTCACCGAGAGATCTCTTGTACGATGTAATAAACAAGCAGGTATAAACCCTTTAGTCCTTTATTTTTTAGAGACACGTATCTCTGTTTATTTTCTGCCCCTGAGGGGTTCTGTTACATCTTAGACACGATATCTGTAACCGTCGAGGTTCTTAGTTATGTTGCAACATCCTCGGCTGGCAAATAGCATCTTGTAAGCCTAGATCGCTCTTTGAGTAGTACAGCTTTAGATTACACGTATCATATAAGCCGAAAATACTATTCAGCTAGCACCCAGCTCGAATAGACGTAAATAGAACATACTGAGTACCGATCAGGGCAGGTACACATGAGATGATCTTATTTCACTAGGTAATACAGTTGGCACTCGGTTTCGTAACTACGGTTTTCGATACTAATAGGAAGGTAAGATGGACAGCGTGTATAGAGGGACCGCCTTCATAGTGGCATTCAAGTCTTTACATATCATCCTAGGCCAGCAAAGAAGCGAGCAAGTTTTCTATAACCAATAGAGTTAATCCACCTAAACAACTCAGAGCAAACAGTATCCCAGGTAAAGTCCAGGATAGGTGTCATGACAAGATCAATTGATCCCATTATTGAAGTTCCTCACTCGTTCTTCTAGATAACAGATATAGCACGTATATTGCAACTATTCACTCTATATATATCCCGTATTCTTGTTGAATGAAGTCAAATGCTAATAAATGGTTCTTTACTGCAGGTCATTCATTCTACCTATCACAATCCTAAACTTCTCCAACACGTTCATATCCTGAATACTTCCATTCTCAAGACCATCACATCGCCGGCAGCTTCCTTAGTCTCACACCCCATGTACCCAATCTAATCCAATCACCAATGCTTCTCCGAGATATCCACCGAATTCACATCAACCCCATCCCGGAACCACCTCTCCCCGTCCGAGATGCGGACATCATTCCCGCTCATCTGGCGCTTGCGCATGAGGCCGTCGTCCGCAAACGTCCAGTCCTCGAGGCCGTACGTGCGCCACCACTGGCCCGTCGCATCATGCCATTCGTACCAGAACTGCACAGCGATCTTGTGGTCCGTGAAGGCGAACAACTCCTTGCGCAACCGATAGCCTAGTTCGCGCTCCCATTTCTTGGTGAGGAACACCTGGATATCATCCCGGCCTGTCAGGAACGTGTCCCGGTTTCGCCAGATGGAGTCGGCCGTGTAGGCCATTTTGACTTTGGCGGGATCTCTAATTTTTACGTTAGCTTAGGAACAATTACTGTAATTGGATTCTCGCAATACGGACGGAGCATAAGGGTGAGCGGACCGGACTGGACCGGATGGGATAATTAAGGGGTGAAGATGGGTACGCACTTAGTGTTCCACGCATCTTGGGCTGCTTTGACTTTGATCTGGGCCGTCTCGGCCGTGAAAGGCGGATATGGAGGCCGTCCCTCGTTTCCTGTAGCCATCTTGTCGTTAAGTATAGCTTCAATTATCAAGATGAGTATGAACTATGAGCCTGTAAGAGTGACGATTGATGACAGAAGTTCGCACAGCTTTCTTATTATACAAGAGCGTAAGGAGTGGAGCCTGTCAGCCCTATCGATAGATCATGACGATGGCTTCTCCCTCTCCTATGTTGGTGCCAGCAAGAACAAGGTTTCCCGATGCCGTGTTTCACATCCGAAATGAAATGAAAAGATTCGGAGGCGGGTGAATCGGGGAATGGGATAAGCCGGTGTTTGCTCGGTCTACCTCGGAGCTTGCCGTCTGCTGTTGGTCCGTGGAACAAATACCGCGTACACATTGAAGGGCGCACCTAGATAGATAGCTTTGACTCATCTAGAGTAGCAAGGCGGCAACGCACATTTCCGCGGCCTAACTGCACTGCATTGTTTGTCACTGGTACCAAGTAGGCCCATCCGCAGTTATACACGTTCGTTGTGCTATGCTGAGTGGCTATTGCGTACCTTGGATCGCAAGAAATGATCATTCATTGATTCCACATCTCGACAGAACGTTTACTGGATGGCGAAGAGACGAGGTCTACGTATCCCATATCTAACTTAGATGTTTTACAAGCTCAGTTTGGAGAACGAAGATATAATATGGGCTAGTATGCAAAGGCACACCTAACTGAACCCCGTAACCTCGGTTTCTTCTCCCGAGTAGGAAGACAGAGTGAGGGGTTCTTCGTCAAGTAGCTAACGTATGTATGCAGAACACAAAATTCACTCAATCATGCCCTGGGAATTTAAGTTGATTTGATGAAATTAAATTTTCATACTCAGGTTGTCCATGAGTTTCCTAGGCGCCACTTATTTGTAATGCAAAAGCATTTCGTCAGTACGGCACTCAAATACCTAGACTAACCTAGCGTGCAGAGGGGATGCGGACATTTCTTGGTGCGCGCCGATGACGGGCATCCCGCAGCCTCCCGCGACTTCCGATGCATCCTGCATCTATGCCAGCCAAAACGAGGACCCTGATGGAGTGATACTGTGATATGATTTCGCAATTGTCTAAAAACATAGGTACACTACCGCTATAACACGCCTACCAACACCGCTATACTTAAAAGGTTCTTATACTCGGCGGATTTACCCCACCATGACAATTGACACGACCCCGCCATGATGCATTATCGCCATCCAATTCAAATCAATAAAATACCAATAACCTGACTTCAGTCCTAACCTACTCTTTTGGTGCTGCGTGTGTCCGCTTTCATTCTCATTCCATCTTACTGTAAGTAATTGATCCTTTGCCATCAAGGTGTTGGTTTGTGTCTACCGGTATAGGAGGACTCAAAGCACTCTTTTAAGTATTTAAACAAGTCAGATCAATTTAACTCCCTGAGCTTCTCCTCCATTTATTTCGCATTTCTCTACTCACCACTTTAAGACCAGATCAACTCAACAACTCCAATCATGTCTGAACTCAAAGCTGGAGACTCTTTCCCCGAAGGCGTGAGCTTCTTGTACGTCAAGCCGACGCCCGAGACCTCCGACGTCCTAGCCTGCGGTATTCCCACCAAGTTCGACGCCAGCGCCGGTATGTCACCTCCCTCTCTCCTTTTTCAGTCTTCCCTCTCATCTCCTCTCTATTAAACCCATCTCCGCCGGTTCCCCTGAACCCTCAGCCCTGTTCTTCTCTTCTCGGACAGTACGAAGGATCACACATAAACCAGACTTAGAAACAACATGCAAAAGCAAAAGTAGATTGCTAATCTCCTACACGTCTTCTAAACACAACAGAATTCAAGGACAAGAAAGTAGTTCTCGTCTCCGTCCCCGGCGCATTCACACCCACCTGCCAAGTCACCCACATCACCGGCTATCTGTCCAAGCTCGGCGATCTCAAGGCGAAAGGCGTCGACCTCGTCGTCTGCATCGCCTTCAACGACCCCTTCGTCATGGCCGCCTGGGGCAAGGCCAATGGTATCAAGGATGATTCTCTCGTATGTTTTCCCTCTCACCCTCTCCCAAGATTTCTCTTTCCTCTCTCTTGCCCTTCACTTAACCTTCTCCCTTCGCCTTTACTTTCTGTTTCCCTTGCCCAAGCACCATTAGACTAGAAGGAAACTTTGGCAGAAAAAAAGAATGAAAACTACCAAGAAAGGAGGCTGAGAGCTAATTAAAATCAACAGCTCTTCATGACCGACAACGAGGCCGAGTTCAGCAAGTCCCTCGGCTGGACCCTTGGTCCCCGCACCGCCCGCTACGCCGTGGTCGTCGATCACGGCAAGGTCGTCTATGCCGAGAAGGAGCCCGGCCGTGACGTCGGCGTCTCCGGTGTTGATGCCGTCTTGGCCAAGCTATAAACGCTTTGTAGGATTCGGTAAACCTGCAAATAGAACGGGCTACGAGGAACAATCCATTTTCCCTGAGCTGTCATATTTGTCTATAGACTAGACTAGAAATCGTAATAAATGAATCAAGAAGACATTTAACATTGGCATGTGTTC